TAATGTCTTCTTTAACGTAAGCATTTTTAAATTTTTTTGCACAATCTTCCTCTTCCAGGCTTGGTTCCCCCCCTTGCCTTTTGTCAGCGCTAATTCTTTGTTAGCAGAAGGATTTCAAAGAACATCTGCTGAGCGTTTCGGGAGAATTAGTGAGGTAACCGAAAACACACCGCATGAAACCGGGTGCTCTTGTTTTCGGAGATTAGCGGTGTGGCACGTTAAGGAAAATGTCTCAGCAAAGCCTTTGCCATTTTGCGCCCTGTCGTCGATTATGGCGTTTAAAAAACACACACACACGGGATTGCGTTCCTGCTACTTGGCTTCATCGCACCATCGTCGTTGATCTTGACGTCTTCGCTCGTCTGCTTTGTGACCCGTCAGCTCCGTCGATGCCGAAGTCTTGATGTCACCACAGTGGACATCTCGCCAATGCGTCCTCTAACAGACTGTGTTGGACTTTTACACTGTCAACGTAAACATTCAATTCAATAAAATACATCTGGAGCATTCTTTCTTAAAAGTCCACACACACACACACACACACACACACACACACACACACACACACACGTACAAACCCCTCACATATCCCAAAATGCCGCACTCGGTCACACAAACGAGTCGCGTGCATTCCCTCGTACTGTTAATTATGTATTTGTAGACCTTGTTTGTGCTTTGTTGTGCGCATCTGCAACTCCATGTCAAATCTCCATGTCGTTAAGCACATGTATGTGTCATGAAATATGCACACACACCTACACCACACACACACACACACACACACACACATGCAGCATGACATTTGCTCATGTGTGTGTTTGTGTTTTCTTGTGTGTGTGTTTGTGTGTGTGTGTGTGTGTGTGTTTGTGTGTGTGTGTGCGCGCGCGTGAGACGTCTGTCCGCCACAAAGAAACTTGACGTGAGCACACACGTGTCGCTGCGATCTTTCCCCGGGCCCACAGAGCAAGCGAGCGATCCGGCGCGGCCGCTCTATTATTCATGCGCTACGGCCCCCAAACCATCGGCAACGCTGGATTTGGACTTGCTGTGTGTGCGTGTGTGTGCGCTGAATTTGTATAATTCATGCAAGATGTCATCAGGGAATCTCTAGGTGACACACGTGTGCGCTGTGTGTGTGTGTGTGTGTGTGTGTGTGTGTGTGTGTGTGTGTGTGTGTCTGTGTGTGTGTGTGTGTGCGTGTGCGTGTATAATTGATGTGCATGATCTTCTTCAGACAGCACTTTGCTCAAATGACACCTTGTGCTGCTTTTGTGGTGACAAAGTATTTTCCTTTTCCTCATCCTTCCACTCCCCTTAAGTTGGTCTCATTCCCTGGCGCTTCCTTTCCTGTCCTGGTTTCCCGTTGCTGTCCTGTCCTCTCATTTGATTGACATGTTCTTTATTTTCCATTTACTGTTCTTCCTCGGCGCTCCCTTTCCAACCTTTTCCTCCTTTAGGGCTTTTGCCTGTTTTCCTTCCTGTCCTGTCCTGTCCTATACTTGACGTTCCTCTCTTCCCTTGCGTTTCACTTTCCTCCCTTGACAATCCTGTTCCGTCCCATCTACGCTCCTGTCCTTTGCGTTCCGTTCTTTTCCTTTCCCATCCTTGCATTTCCTCTTCTTGCTGCCACTTTTCTCGTCTTGACTTTTTCCTTTCCTTGCATTCACTTTCATTTTTCCCCACCTGTCCGGTTCCTCTTTTTCCGTTCCTTCCCTCGCTTCAGCTTCGCTCATCTTTCCTCATCTTCCGTTCCATTCTTTCCCTTTCCATTTCTCCTCTTCATCCAGGTGCTCCTTTTCCTTTCCTTCCTGTCCTCCCATTTCTTCTCCTTTCTTTCTTTTCGTTCACTTCTCTTTCTTTCTTTCCAGCTCTCTGCCCTTGCGCTTTGTTTGCTGTGTTCCCCATTTCCTTCTTTCTGCTGCCGTCCTTTACTTTCCTTCGCGTCTCGACTTTTCTCTCCTTACTGTTCAAAAACCGTGGAAAACGACGTAACTGTTTGTGGCGGAGTCGTCCTCTGCGTTCAAGGTTGTGTGTGTGTGTGTTGTGGGTGTGTGTGTTTCCCTCTCTGTGTTTGTGTGTGTTGTGGGGACCCCTCGAGGCACGAGTGCGCCATCGCTATCGGCACCCGAGTGACGCTAAGCCTGTTGCCACGCGGAGATTCTCCCTCTTCTCTAAACCCGAGTACAAAGTGTCACCTACAGCGAGGCAGGCGCGCTCGCAAGCGTGCACGTGTGCACACGCACGGATGCGGTGACATGGATCTTTTTGAAATACAATTTCATCCTCTCTCACTGCTCATGTGTTGTGTGTGTGTGTGTGTGTGTGTGTGTGTGTGTGTGTGTGTGTGTGTGTGTCTGTGTGTGTGTGTGTGTGCGTGTGCGTGTATAATTGATGTGCATGATCTTCTTCAGACAGCACTTTGCTCAAATGACACCTTGTGCTGCTTTTGTGGTGACAAAGTATTTTCCTTTTCCTCATCCTTCCACTCCCCTTAAGTTGGTCTCATTCCCTGGCGCTTCCTTTCCTGTCCTGGTTTCCCGTTGCTGTCCTGTCCTCTCATTTGATTGACATGTTCTTTATTTTCCATTTACTGTTCTTCCTCGGCGCTCCCTTTCCAACCTTTTCCTCCTTTAGGGCTTTTGCCTGTTTTCCTTCCTGTCCTGTCCTGTCCTATACTTGACGTTCCTCTCTTCCCTTGCGTTTCACTTTCCTCCCTTGACAATCCTGTTCCGTCCCATCTACGCTCCTGTCCTTTGCGTTCCGTTCTTTTCCTTTCCCATCCTTGCATTTCCTCTTCTTGCTGCCACTTTTCTCGTCTTGACTTTTTCCTTTCCTTGCATTCACTTTCATTTTTCCCCACCTGTCCGGTTCCTCTTTTTCCGTTCCTTCCCTCGCTTCAGCTTCGCTCATCTTTCCTCATCTTCCGTTCCATTCTTTCCCTTTCCATTTCTCCTCTTCATCCAGGTGCTCCTTTTCCTTTCCTTCCTGTCCTCCCATTTCTTCTCCTTTCTTTCTTTTCGTTCACTTCTCTTTCTTTCTTTCCAGCTCTCTGCCCTTGCGCTTTGTTTGCTGTGTTCCCCATTTCCTTCTTTCTGCTGCCGTCCTTTACTTTCCTTCGCGTCTCGACTTTTCTCTCCTTACTGTTCAAAAACCGTGGAAAACGACGTAACTGTTTGTGGCGGAGTCGTCCTCTGCGTTCAAGGTTGTGTGTGTGTGTGTTGTGGGTGTGTGTGTTTCCCTCTCTGTGTTTGTGTGTGTTGTGGGGACCCCTCGAGGCACGAGTGCGCCATCGCTATCGGCACCCGAGTGACGCTAAGCCTGTTGCCACGCGGAGATTCTCCCTCTTCTCTAAACCCGAGTACAAAGTGTCACCTACAGCGAGGCAGGCGCGCTCGCAAGCGTGCACGTGTGCACACGCACGGATGCGGTGACATGGATCTTTTTGAAATACAATTTCATCCTCTCTCACTGCTCATGTGTGACGAGAGGCTGTTGAAATCTCCGCAGGGCCGCCTCTCAGTGTCTGTTTCGTCTGGTTTTGTGTGTGTGTGTGTGTGAGTGAGTGAGTGAGTGTGTGTGTGTCTTTGGTTTGTGTGTCTTTGGTGGCCTCCACAACACACACACACACACACACAAAGGTAAAGGTAGACCGGAGCTGACAGCTGATTTTTGTTGTGAAGCCTTTGACGCTAAATGTGTCTCGTACGCACTGCGCGAGGAGGGTCAGATGTGTGGGTGCGCTCGTTTTCCCCTCCCCGCCACGCCGACTCTCCTGCAGCAGGTGTTTCGAAATTCAAGCGACCGAGATGAAGTCTCGCGTGGCACCAGCAAGAGAAAAATAGGGGAAATAAATAAACAGAAATCCAAAGAAAAAGCCAGATGCCCGCCTGAGGAGTTAAGAAAATCAAGAAAGTGGACGTGAGTGTGATCAAAGTCAGCATTTGCACATCTGAGGAGGGGGGGCGGGGGGACTAAACAAAACAATATTCATAAAAGTGCAGTGTCAGCTTTTTCCTTGAACGAAACTTTTGGGAAACAACATTTCAGTGAGGTTTCACGTCAAGTGTTGGACAAAAGTATCGGGACGCCTAGCCAGCAAGCCACAATTGTGGTCCGTGGCAGGATTGG